TTGGGGTCATAAATCACTGAACTAAGAATGGTCTATGTTCACTTATGATGACACTCTGGACTTCTGTTCTTCACTTTTTTGACTGACACATCATGGTTGTTAATAAAATTCTAATTTTCAGGTTGAGAAAGTCAGTTTAAAATTGGGAGCAAGGGGACGGATGCTGCACTGTAAGCTTCTTAGTGGCCAAGACCACGTCCTATTCATTTCTGAATTCCCTTGTTCCCTCAGCGTTCAGCACATAATTCGCTGACAAGTAAATATAATTTAAAGAAGGGCTTTAACTTTTCAATGTAGTAGCAAAACATGTGGGCTTTGGAGTCAAACTTATTAGATTCAAGTCACTTTTCTTCCCTAGTACATGACTGGGGCCAGCTGCTTATCTTCCCTGGGCTTCCAGTTTTCTCATCTGCAAAAAAAGGCGGTGATAGCACCTACCTCACAGGGTCGTGTGGGGATTATAGGCATTTATATTTGTGAATAACAGAGCTCAGTTCCTGCCACATAGTTAGCACTTGACAGATCTTAGCTATTATTATCTTCTCCCTCATCATCTAGCTAGTTATCTTGCATTTTGCCCCTAAATTAGTTTCTCAGGGAATTTGGTCAGCATGAAATGTGGTTGGTGTAGTGGGTTGAATTGTGGCCTCCAAAAGATGTCTACTCAGAACCCAAGAATGTAACCTCATTTGGACTAAGCATCTTTGCAGATAAAGTTAAGGCAAAGATCTTGAGATCATCCTGGATAGGATGGGCCTTAAGTCCAATGTCTTTATAAGAGACAGAAAAGAAGAGCCAGAGACACAGGCAGAAGGCGATGTGAAGATGGAGACAGTGATTGGAGTCATGCTGCCAGTAGCCAAGGAGAGCTAGGAACCCCCAGAGGCAAGAAGCATTCTTCCCCAGGGTCTTCAAAGGAAGTGTGGCCCGACCAGGCCACTGATTTTGGAATTCCAGCCTCCAGAACTGTGAGAGAATAAATTCCTGCTGTTTTATAGTATTACCAACTTTATGGTAATTTGCTGTGGCAGCCCTAGGAAACCAATATGATTGGGTACAGATGACTTTGGAACAACCTAGATTTAGTAAGGGAAACAAGCTGACGTGTGATTTGGTGATTATCACGAGTTCTCCTTTTCTTGAATTGTGTACTGCAAGGAAAGTTCTCTTTAGGGAGGGATAATCACTGTCTTCAGAGACTGAAATATTCTGGCCAGTCTGTCTCATCTACTGCCAGCCAAGGGCATTTCTGCTGGGAATCTTGAAAACATTCTGCATTTTTCCACAAGGAATAAAGTGGAAGTACTCGATGTGCAATGAGATGCTGGATAGAACCAGCTGCTACCTGGCCCCAAATAAATGGGCAGATGACGCAGCTCTCAGTGATTGTCCAGTAAACACGCCCACACCAGTCCCCACCGCCTTCCTCATGCACCTCAGCAGAGGTCGAAAGCATCATTAGCCAATGATTCTAAGCTAAGGAAGGAACCTGACTGCCAAGAGACCTACATAATGGTGTATTTCTCCTAACTCTGTTGGCTCTTGCAATTATATCTATGAAACAGATCTCCTTGCAAGTGAAAATTACATCCAGGTCATCTGCAAGACCCTTTTAAGCCTGTGGGATTTTAAAGGAGTCCTCAGGAAAGAGTTGTGATAGAAAGTCAAATCCACTGGTGTTCAGAGAAATGGCTTTTGTTCTTTTCCTCTCTCCTAACTCCTGGAGAAAAACAGCAAGCAGACAGAGCAGCGACAGTCAGAGGAGGGTGACTCTTTTGGAGCAGAGGCGTTAAAAGATGACACACGCTGACAGGTTCAGGAAATAGCGAATGCTCTTCCAATCAGCAGATGATTTCTGTGTGTTTGCCACGTAGGAGAGATTGCAAGTCATGCAGTATTTCAAAGACAGGTCACGACTACTCCATGTGTCATCTTCTAATGCGAAGGTCAAGAGCAAGGAGAAGGTGGGTGGAGGCAGAGGGGGGAAGAGCAAGGAGGCCATGTGCAGGCAAATCAACCACATCTAGGCAGGTCTCGCTGCCTATTTTCTGACAGTGCCCAGGAAACCTGTGTAATTACTTGCTTTGTTGACATCTGAGGCTTTCACCTCACAGGTAACCAGCACTTCATTAACTCATAAGTCCTTTGTAACTTGTGAAAGTCACTTTTTCCCTGACTCAGTCAAGGCTTTCTTTTCTTCCCTTACTTGGTAATTTACTCAGTTTATTTCCAGTAAGAAAAGGGTTGCAGGGAAGAGGCCAGGGAGGAAAGCCAGAGGAGGAAGCCACACACAGTATTCTGGAGCCCAGAGTCCCCTGAAATGGACTTCACTGCTTAATTGAAAAGAATTCCAGAATACCAGAAACACTCACAATCAAATAGGAAAAAAAAAAAAAATTCTGAAGCCAAATGGATTCAAAGGATTTTTGTCATTATTTGTCATTTGCTTTTCTCCATTCCGAAAAGAGAGAGAGAGAGAGAGAAGGTTCCCCGTGAAACACACAGGTAAATGATTTGAGAATTTGAGTGCCTTTTTAAAATATGTAAATGCTTAATTTCCACTTTCCAACAAAGAGCTTGTGTGAGGAAAGAATACATTTTTAGCACTCAAAATTAAGACAGAATACACACTCATACATGCACACACACATGTGCCTGCACACACACACATTTGGTCAATTCACTACCTTTCGAAGAGAACTGTGCAGTTCTAATTAATGGTAAATTTTAAGCAAATAACTTGATGAATATGAGCCCAATATATTTTCTCTGTTTTCAGGAAGAAAAAAAGCTATATGGTATATGCAAACATGCCAAATGTTTTTAAAAACCTCTATCCTTCCTGTCCAGGGACATCCAGTCATTCTGTTAGGGTTGTGACAATGGCAGGTGTGAGCACACATAATCGCACTGAGAATCTGCTGACTGATTATTGTTGACATTCCCTAGTTTGATCTGATTCATCACTTGCACAGGAGCCAAGAGACAGTAAAAGGGCAGGAGGCTGTACTGGGAGGAGAGAGACAAAATCTCAACCTAAGTTGGGATAAGGATCCTTTTCTAGTAATTGTCCTATTCTTGTAAGTATTCACTCTGTCCCAAGGCAGGCAATGGAAGCTTAGTTATTTGTGTCCTAGATCTGGAGGCTTCTCCCAAAATGGAAAAGATAAATTAAGTGAGAGTGTATACAGAGGTTATTGGTGATCAGAGGCTTGGCTGGGCACAGAAGCAAGCTAAGTGGAGCCACTGGGGATGAAGGGTCTATTTAAACACACACACACACACACACACACACACACACACACATGCACTCCTTAGCATTTCTCGTCGCATGAAATTTTTGAACAATTGGTCTGTACACAAATGCACACTTTTTTCTAAAAAAAGAAAAGAAAAAATAAACCAAAGTAGACGATCTCTTGTCAAAAGTACATATATCTTGCTAGTCAGAAGCTACACCTTAATCCTAATATTTGGGAAATTATGTTGCCACAGTAAATAAATGGTTAGGAGTAAACCATTTGTAAAAAATCAAAGCACACACACAAATCATTCCAGACACTGTTTCTCATTTTCTGACATATTATTGTACACAGTGCTGCTTTGGGCTCCAGCATCCTTATATCCTTTTGAAGACTATTAATTTAAAAAGCCATGAGCTTTGTCTGCTCCTCTAATCACCATTATCTGTTTTTGTACTTTGGAAAAGGCAAAAAGACTAATGCTGACTTGGATGAGAATCATTTTTGGAATAGTGTTTGGTGGTTGCTCACATCTGGATTAAGTATAAAACGATAACATTATGATGATGAACGCCAGAGAACCTCATCTGCATATAAATAGACCTAATCAGAAATGCAAATTGCAATCAGGAGAAATTTTTTAAGGATGTGATAGCTGTGTGATTGTGCAGATAAGGAAAGGTCAACACTTGTATTGTTCAAGTGGTTAAATGGCCCCCAGCCTGCCCAGAGCCTCCTTTGAAAGAGACATTTGGAAGGTACAAATTACCTATCAATCTGCACCCTGGCCAGGAAGAAGTCCCCAATAGCTTCATTTTCCCTGGCTGGAGCCCTAAGCTGCCCATACATCATCCCGATTCCAATGAAAGACCAATAACAAAACCTGTACGAACCCTAATGAACACATAGAGTAGAAAATATACTTGCGTTTAAGTGCCTTCCAAACAGACATCTTTCAGCACAATTTCCCATTGAGACTGAAATTAAGGGGTGGAGAGTAGACATATGACTGATGTAACATTTTTCTGATCTATTTCAGTGCTGGTCTGAGTGGATAGAGCAATATGATACTCATTTTTTCTCCCCCCCCCCCCCCCCCCCCTTTTTTTTTTTTTTTTTTTTCTCTCCT